CAAATCGCTTGGACCGTTGGGCTGAGCACAATGAAAGACAATTTAATCGATCGGAATTGTCAGATTTCTCGCCGGCCACTGATGGACCTGCTCCATGGGCTGTCCCTTTGGATCCGCGCTCTCGCACAGACGTCGAACGTGAGATCGGACTGCTGAAGTTGAATAAAGCCGCGGGACCGGATATCCTCCAGCCCTCTTCATACTCCGGGTGACAAGCTCTTGTGGATGATTAACACGAGCTACTATTGAAACTGTGGGAGAAGGAAACCGTCCCAACCGACAGGAGCCGCTGCAGCAAATATAGAGGTATCAGTTTGATCTCCATAGCCTCCAAATTGCCTGCCTCTGTCATCATTCACAGACTAAATGGCATGCGCAGCACGGGCAGAGTGAAGGTTTACGGCAAGCTGTCGTCGCCCTTCAATATCTCCAGCGGTGTAAAACAATGATGCTCGCTGTCACCTTTCCTCTTCAACTTCGCTATTGACGAAGTCATGGAGATCGCATTCACTTGACGCGACGTGGAAGATGTGGAGCTACTCCCAGGAAATCGACTTCTTGTCTTGGAGTATGCTGACGATATTGCCCTAATCCATGAGAGCTCACAAACCTGCCAAGCTGCAGTGGACAGATTAGCACTGGTTGTCAGACGCTTCGAGCTTTGTTTTGCACCATCGAAGTGTAAAGCGGTCCTTCAAGATTGGCGTGGACAGCCTCCTTCGCTAACCCTTGGTGGGGTTCAGATAGAAGTCGTACAAAAATTCTACTACTTGGGAAGTTGTACCAACGCTCTTTGGATCGACGATGAGATCACCAACCATAAAGCAAAAGCTCGAGATGCTTTTGCTGGTCTTCGCAACCTATGGCGGCGCGACATCACTCTCGCCCTTAGGGATAGAGTGTACAATGCAGCGGTACGTTCGACCCCACTGTACGGTTGTGAAACCTGGCCCCTTAGATCGGCGAATATAAGGAGGCTAGTTAAGTTCGACCATCGGTGCCTTCACAGTTTGGCTCACATCTGGTGGGAACACGGCGTGAGCAACGAGCGTATTTGTTTACGGTACAGGAAAAAATATGAACAATTCAGCACCGTTATTTCACGCACCAGGCTCCGATTGGTGGGTTACGTGTTGCGCATGCCAGCCCATCGGCTCCCGCGACGTGCGTTGTTTGCGCACCGAGGGTGTGGATGGAAGAAAAGAAGAGATGGCCAAGCGATGACTTGGTCAAGAGGAATGAAGTTTCTAACTTCGAGGCTGGCCTACGTTGGAGCGTCTCGAATCCTTGGTTGGAGTCCGAAAGACGATAAACACGCTTGGCTGGATACAGTTGCTGAGATGGCTAGGATCCGACCAAAGTGGCGTTCGTGCTGTAAGTTTCTTTATCCCTCCCTATCCTACATAGCCTGCCCCTCCAACACCGATCTCATTACTTATCATAATATAATTTTGCATAATAACATTTTTTGCTGCATAGCAGCCGGCTGGTAGCCTTCCGAAACGATGCCCATCTGTTGTTGGTAGCTTAACTGGCATGCACCCTCTTGCATGCTTTTTTGTCTTCCTTTCGTTGATGTATTGCGGCACAGTAGCTGAGGTGTTTTCCACCTCCAGCTAACGTGCATATTAATGATGATATATATATATATATATATATATATATATATATATATTGAACACTTGACCAACAAGACAACTGACAGAATGTCACAAAATATAAACAAAGATAACACAACAATAATAAAAGTATAGGGGGGTATAAAAAGAAGTGTAACATTGCAGTGATGAGGGTAGAGTCTCACAGCGTGTTCATCATTGCTCACGATTTCATGACATGTCCGACAGAGTTTCAAGCCATGTGTGCCTGCGTACTTTGATACGCATTCGGAACACATGACTGCGGCAGTTGGCTTATGTCTATGCGCGCACAGCGACGTTACGGAAGCTTGCCAAAACGCACCCGAAGGTCGGCACATACAAGAGCGCGATCGGAGTCCAAGCTCGTGTTCCAAATCGGGTGACAGTTTCGGATGCAGCCTCTCGAGCGGTAACCGATCGCGATGTGATCGATTTGCGTCCATGGCTGGTCCGGGCTGATGGGCGCCAGGTCACTCTCCGGCGGGTGCTGTGTCGAAAGTTAGTGCTCGTGGGAAACAGACAAGCATTTTCACACAGATGTAGCAACCGTCCAACGCTATCATTACGGGACGTTACACCAAGTTTGCCCCTCAGATGAGGGTCATCAGAGAACAATTTTCCGACATGCAAGTGGCAGTAAAAGCTGGCTACATTTAGGGAAGTATCACGAACTCCAATGGAGTTTGAGCGTCAAAACAGTTGCTATTGATGTACAGTGTTGGACGATACTGGTTTACGACCGCTGCCTTGGCAAAAGTAAGGACTCTGACGCTTGTGTCATCACAGATGACAGTAAACGCCGAGTTCGGGTAGAATTAATGACCCGTTTCAACCAGGTGTTTAGCAATCGAGGGGCAGCTATCTTATTCGTCGACACAAGTCCAGTTTGTGGTTGCTTTGTTATGGTGATGATAGTTTTCGAATGTGCTCCCCAATCTGCTTAGAGAAGCAACGGTCTGTTATACCGATGTAACTGCCTCCACAGTTACAAACAACCATATAAACGCAGCGCGTTGTGGCGAAAACCGGCTTAGTAGGCTTGACTAGAGGTACAGGTAGATTCTTAGTAGCCAAAAGAGTGTACGAAATGTAATAGCATTGAATGCATGTCGCACTGCAACTGCTGTACGCCATTTTATCTGCTTAGCCACAACGTCTTTTGCGTAGCCATTGGTCTGTAGAGTTTGCAGGATGAGTTGCAATTCAGCTCCGATGTATTCATTACGGCATATACCGCGGGTCCGATTGGATAACGTCTTGAGGAAACAACGTTTGTATTGAACCAGTGTAAAACTGTGGATGTGTTCATACACACGGACCAACGTAGCTTTCCGGCAAATTGTACGATGTATCGTACGAAGCTCTCGTCTCGTCAATAGTACATCAAAAAATCGTACGGTTATGGTCCCCAACTTCAAAGATAAAGCAGACAGTCAGACTTGCAGCCTCTAAGGTGATGACCAAGGCTCAAAGCGTGACTAGACCATGGCCATGAATATGGCCGCCAGAATAGCGTAGAGTGGACTCCCCATAACTGCGCCATCTACCTGTCAACGTGCCTGTGCCTTGAGCATAAAGTACACATTTTCCCTGTAAGGTAGCAACGAATGCTTGAGCTACTCTACAGGAATCGGCAGAGGCAGCTTCTAACTAATGACTACGTCACATAAGAATTCCACTTTTCTCAAAGAAATGTTGGTAAACAGAGACTATAGGTACATTGAACTTATCACCTAGTCCGCAATTTTAAGTTCAACTAACTGTTCAATCAACTCGAAAATATTATTCAAGGTGTGCTTCACTAGCATCTTTCTCACTAGTGTCAGTAGTTCAACTGAGCAACATGCTAACTTATGATACCGTGAATCATGTATGGATAGTATTGGTCTGAAACATAATCTATATGAATCTTGGGTAGACCATACATCTGGGGGATGTCCGTGCTCAATGGCTTAAGAAGCATTGCATATCACCTGTATTATCATCCCATGAAGCAGTAATAGTTTCGGATGCACTGTTACTCTCTTCTCAAGGTGTACTATGTTTATCTCACTTTTATCCACATGAAATTTGGAAATGTCTTTCAAGACCTTCTCCATCTTGCTTTACAATCCGACTTATCCATGATGAGCATTCCAATACTTTTGTCAAGTTTCAAAACCATCAAACGTTTGACTCACAAATCATGTAGGGTTTTGGTATGATTGACCGCCGAACGGCAAAACTGACAAATCAGGGCTTTCATAACACCTCCTGCGAGGTCAACTAGCTTAACTTTGAGCCAATTGTAGTTCTCTTGAGATGTCGGTTTTAGCTTCGAGAGCTGACCGTGCAGTTTTTCAAATCGTGCATCAACAGGAATGTCATTCATTTTCCTTCGAGTTGGTTCGTATTCAATTAGAACGAAGAAAGATTGTACAAATGTTTCTGTAAATTGCCAGTGAGTTATTGCATCTTCAGTGTTTTCGAAAGATCTGTGCTGTTCTTATGCCAGCTTTTTGTTCTGTCAGTTAGTTTTACGAAAATTCGGGTGTTTGATTCAATAGACTAAAAGCATCTGATGTGCATGGAAGCACGATGTCCATATGTCTCCAAAAATTGTGATAACATTCTGATGAATTGGCAAGTGGTCTTAGATAAGTGAGAGTAGGTCATGTTATATCCCGGAGTTGCAGTTTACAAAACTGTTGAGGGTATTTAGCGTCTCGATTGTACTCACAGCGAAAACGAATACGAGCCTTCTCCGTAGCAATCTTGAACTTTAGTGTTACCAATCCATCAAGGACCAGCAAACGGGACATGTGTCGACGAACAAGATACCTGTCTCCTCGAGTGACAAACACCCGGTTGATATGCGTCATCAAGTTTACCAAGACTCGGCGTCAGAGTCCTTAATTTTGCCGAGGCAGTGGACATAAACCAGTATCGTCCAATACAGTGCCTCCAAAGAAACTGTTTGCTATCCGCAAACTCCCTTGGAGTTCGTGATGCTTCCCTAACTGTAGCCAGCTTTTACTATCTTCTGCATGTGACCTCCCGATTTCAACTCATTGATTTTTCATCACATATTCGTTCGATATGTTGCTCGTTAACAAGTGAACAAAGAACATTAAATGGTATGATATGCAGTACTCGTCTTCTTATTGGTCTATTCGAATTACAGTGAAGCGTACCGTACTCATGAGGAGGACTTGTATGTGACACCTTATTTTGAGTATGGATTTCATTTCGAATAATGAAAATCTAAAGCAAGCGACAAGACGTAAATTTCATGTATTCAATCACGAAATGGCATGCATAGGTAGAACAGATTCGAGCCGAATGACAGCAGAGAGTTGAAATGTGAAAGCCCATACTCACCAACAGGTGAAGCTGATCCAACAGGTGTGACACGAAGTCGGCGAATGCTGCAGTCAACCTGCAGCGCGCCTGTATACGTCGAATGCGCGTTCGGATGGCTGTCTTATCTACTTGCATCATTACCATAAAAGATATCAGATTGTGTAATGAGGTAGCCAAAAGACGATCTTCGAAATTCTGCAGTATTCTTTTTTCCTCAACCCGCAATGTTGAGAACTTTCTCAGCATATCCACGGGGTCGTGATCTAGCCCTGGGAATAAAGTGGAAAGGATATATAAGCATGTTGGCTAAGAATAAAGACACTAACGTTAGCAATCATATAAGTTCACGCTTGCGACCACACATACAGATTGGTGAGTTGAGCACTAATAATACACCAGATGACATTCACTTGCATCGGCAGACGGCGTGCACATTTTCTGGGCTTTTATTATTCGACTCAAGAGCAAGATGTCTGAAGATACAGTGCGAATAGTGTAACTAAAAAGAATGCAACTGTAGCAAATCGTTTCCGAATTGACTGGTGCGCGTACAGGCGCTCAAATCCGTCGTGGCTGGACTTCATGGTAACAAAATGTGAACAAGATGTGTAAGATATCCAGATCCTGAAGTATATATATATATATATATATATATATATATATATATATATATATATATATATATATATATATATATGGGAAGTCCAAGGTTCGCGAAGACTTGTGGTGGCTAGGCTCTGACGGATCGGTGACACGTTGCTCCCGTTGTTGAAACGTGGACTCATGTCCTGGACACCTCCTCGAGGCGACCGCTTGGTGGGAGTTGGGCTATACCCTAATACTAGCTAAGAGCCGACACATAATTCCGCGTGAGTTGGCTACCTGACGCATAGCGCACAGCCTGCAGCTTTTCGAGAGTATATTTTATCGAAGGCTTTGGTTGAGGACCCAAATCGTTCTAAAGTCAGGTGTAGGCGTCTTGGCAGTATCCTAGTTCAAAAGCTGATTATAAATCACATCAACACTAATAATATCATGTTGTATCGGCCGTCGCGCAGTGGCACTAAGAAAAGAGTCGCCTTATATGCTGCATACAGCGGGGCGGATAAGCAAAAACATGATACCGCCGACGCCCCTCTTCCTTTTTCTTCCCGTGCACATGCCCTTTCCATTCCCATTTCATCAAACCCACCACTTCCTCTAATACAGGTCAATACACGAGCGACTGTCCAGCGAAATCATACGCCTCCGCGCAAAGTGCCAAACTTCGGATGCTGGAACGTGCGCACATTGCTCGACCGGAACACGAATAAACGACTTGAGTGACGCACGGCTATGGTCACGATGAAACTCGCACGACGCAGGATCGACATGGCTGTACGCAGCGAGACTCGGCACGCTGACCAAAGGAAGCTGCACGAGGCAGGTGCTGGGTACATGTTCTAATGAGTGGGAAACGCCACCCCAGCACCACGTGAACATGGGGTCGAATGTGCACTATCATCCGACCGCCTAAGTGGTCAGCTGGTGGCAGAGTAGACTAGCATCAGCTCAAGGCTGATGACACTTCGCCTGAGACTTGGAAGAGGTGAATTTGTCACTGTTACTATCACTACGGTCCTACCATCTTGATGACACCATGGATAAGTTTAACACAGTTTTCATCCGAGGAGCAACCGGATATTACTACTGGGGGATTTTGAAGCGCACGTCAGGCGTGATGCCCAGACGTGGACAGACGTAATTGGTTCGTATGGTACTGGCGCAGCCAAGGTGAGCGGTGACCGACTGTTCTCACTTTGCCTCACTCACAGTTTGCACTGGGTGCGAGTAATGTAGCTACTTGGATGCATCCACGCAGTGGTCACACAGACCCATCCGACTATGTCATTGTACGCCAGCGTGACATGAGTGAGGTGCGCATGATACGTATGCTGCGCGGGGCTGAGGGTGGCATAGATCTCAAGTTGGAGCAGACTAAAGTGTGCATACATTTTCGTAAATCCATATCGATGTATTGCAGTCCTGCCGTGAATCGGTGCAAAGTTAACGTTCTTTCCGTAAACACAGCAGAGAAGAGGATGGAACTGGAGAAGGCGACGGCCAGCTGCTTTGGTGAGGTCAACCGCATCGAATAAGCGGGCTGTGGCACCACATCAGAGGACAGGTGACGGCTGTGGCCGAGGAAGTGATCGGGCGCGCAAACTATAAACGGCATCATTAGTTTGCTGGCAACAATGCGATCATTAGGATATTCGTGCCGGAGAAGAATGCAGCACTCGCTACACATGTCGAGGATCCTGTTGACTATGCGAAGGAGCCATTTCGACAAGTTTCGACGACGATTGACTCGGGAGCTACTGTCGCATCAAGAATGCAAGGTGGACGGAAAAGGCAGAGCAGATGGAATGTTACGCCGAAAATCGTCAACATAAAGAATACTTTGGTATATTGCAGGAGGTGTGTGGACGCACTTTGCAGCCGCTGAGGACGTTAGTGGGCGATAGTTAAGACGCTATCTGCACACAGACTGCAGACATAAAGCAGATCTACCGAAAGCATTTTGTTTCTTAGACAACCATTCACAGATTGACTGGGCTAAGATGCAAGGGACGCAACAACAAATGAAGATGTGTCTTGCTATCCCACATATACTGTATGAGTTGTAGAGAGCATTTGCTCAGCTGCAGAACGTCAAGTGCGCCACATCCGACAGGATATCATCAAAAGTGTTGTAGACACCGGACCCGCTTACATATATATATATATATATATATATATATATATATATATATATGCCGTATGGATTCAACGCGGATACCGAAACAACTATTATATGGTCAGCTGAGTATTGGGAAGCGGCATGTGGGGAAACCAAAGTTACGTTACCAGGACATAATTACAATGAGCCTCTCACGTTCTAATCTTGATTGCAGATCATGTGAATCGAAGGCGGTTGATCGGCGTGCTTGGCGCGATCCGATCACGAAGGCAGTTTCCGAGGTGCAGGAGAAAGCCCTCATGTATGCAGAGAAGAAGCGGCAAGTGCGGAAGCGGCAAGCACCGATGGGTTGTACTCCATCGACATCAAGCGCATGGTGCTGTAGCACATGCGGTCGCGAGTGCCTGAGTCAGGCAGGCTTAGTGAGTCATGAGCGAGGCCGCCCGGGACCACTACCAAAGCGACGACGGGTCCTGCAGAGAACGTAGGCAGAACCGACGCAGTGTTTGTAGGTACGCTGCATTCGATTTAGTAAAAGTGTGCTTGCATGCTAAGTCTCTTTATTTCAGGTGGTGGGTTTTTAATTTTGTCCTAATGCTTTTCTTTCTCAAATAAATGTCAACCTGCAAGCTCTTTTATAAACCTACACAACTCGCTTAAGCCAATGGTAGTGAATTTCGATAACACTTTCGTGTTTGTGTCATTTCCGTAAAATATACTTTCGTACCCCCTGAACTTATCTCGGATCCTTTGTTAACAACTTAATTCATATGCTCATTAATTTAAAATTTTTGTCACGTTTCCTTATGCATTACTCGATTTCTTTTCTTTGTTAGCTTGCTCTCAAGTGGTTGGCTGTTGCTTGATATCCACGGTGTGGCTGCGCTTGATGTGCATGTTGACATGGTGCCTACCTGTCTATTACCCATTACCTCGTCCATACTGGCTCTAGGAGACAGTTGGTCGTTGCTGGAGGGGACGGGGTGCACGGTTCTTGTGGCCGTGTTAGGGTCGAAGAGTGGTTCCATGCACTCAGTGTGGAGCCGACTACGGTCCAGCCACCGCCTTGTGTGCGCTTGATTAACCAAATACAGCGCGCTTGTGTTTGCCTGTGAAAGAGTGTGGGCCGGCTCCGTTGATGAAACGTGGCTCCCATCCACATGCCTCCCGGTCTTATTCCTTCGGGTTTACACTGGATATGGGGTATGTGCTTGGAGCTGTGGGTGGTGCAGTGCAAGCCACCCATGGTCCTACTGTAGGCGCAGGCATCCTGTGGCTGGCCACAGAGACAGGCAAATCCGAAACTGGATGCCGCCAACCATATATATCAGCAAGTGAGAGATAGTTAAACAGCAACAATAAATTATTATGAGCTTGTATTAATGTATATTGACTCCAAGTTAGTTTTTTATATATTTTTGGATTATCCTGAGATTTTTCATCGGGTGATTTTTCAGCTGAGTACATGGTTATTATCACTTCCAGATCAAAGGAAGTAGCGATTTTAGTGTAGAATAATGTAGAGATTTTACATGCTCTGATCGTGTTAGGCAGGTTGTTCCATAAAGCGGTGTATCAGATGAAGAAGTTAGAGCGTATAGTTGTTATATCCCTTAGTAGATGTAGCTTCGCTTTTTGTTGCGACGTCTTTGATGTGTATCTTGCTTCAACTTTAAATTAGGCTGGTAGCAGTACATTTGCTGGTGTCCATTTGGAAGGAGTAACAATGTTTGCTTCAGGCGTCGCAGCCAAAGGGGTTTGATGTGAAGCTGCTTACAATGTTCGCGGTAGTCTATACCATTTTACACGCATGTTAGCGCATTGTACCAAGCTTTTAACGTGGCACATTTTCGAAATCGCGTGCAGTGCTTTCATGTTAGTCAGGTTTCCTTCAGATAGGCATCAAAATGGAACAGAAGGTGGTGCTCGACCACTTTCAGTGGACTGTCTGTCGATTATGCTGTGGGCTTCCAACCGGTGTCCCATTGGGTAACGTCCCATGACCAATGAGAGTGTCAACGACGCCAAAACAGCGTTCTTAGCCTCGTTAACTTGAAAGCACTGCACGCGATTTTGAAAATTTGCCACGCTAAAAGCTTGGTACAATGCGCTAACATGCGGCCGGAAGCATAGAGGATCGCAAGCCTGCTTCATAATTCGAGGGTGCAGATTCGGGCCTGTCTGGGGACCGTTTGACCCTCGTAGTATGCTCAGACTGCGTGCGACTAGTGGGAATTGCGGGGCAGCGAAGTGTCGGTACTGTGTACCGTCTATGGTGAATTAGAGGTTTGGAAGCAGGATGCTTGTTTAATAACTCTAAACGTGAAAATCTGCCCTGTTTGGATACGAATGTTGGATTCAGCGGAACCGAGAGGACAACACGGAGGTGCACCTCTCAGAGTCCTGATAGAAGGACACGACGACTCTCTGGATGATGGAGAGCAAGAAGATATTCGGTAAAATCGCATACAGGTATGTAATCAGAGCCATAAAACCAGAATGTAACGCAATATCTATGTGACCACTAGTGAAACGCGTTTTCAACATATCCCTCTCTTGACTTTGGGAATTAGTTGTATCCGAATCCAACAGTTGCATAGCGTCAGCTATAATGTCGCCTGGAACAGAAGCGAAGCGTTGAGAGTAGCAAACAATAATGTACCAGCAGTCGAGATGACTACAACAGAGTTTAACGAAATCCGTCATTCCAAACGAGGTTGTGTCGTGATCCAGGCACAAAAGACAATCCAACATGACTGTCCAAATACTGAATAAATAAACAGTATATTCCTCGGTAGTGCGACGTACAATCCAAATGAGTGGTCTGGTCCATATGAGCAGCAAGATTGTGAAAAATAGATAAGTGTTCGAGTTCTTTAATGTGGTTGCATGTATCACAAAAAGGAAAGCGATGATAATAAATGCGGATATAGTCAATTATCCAAGCTAGGTAATACAGGCATGGGAGAAATGAAAAGTTGATTGAAATACTGGGGAAGCTCTATAAATTTAATAAAATCCTAGAAAACTGGCAGCGTTTGGAGAAGTGGGATCTCAAGATAATATATTCAACAATGGCGATGAGAACGTTGCACCGGTGGCCGACAACACAAAAAAACTGAAAAGACACCAAATTCAACAAACAACTCAAAAAGGAACACAAACGAATAGGGGAAAACAAAGCCCTTACCGAGAATGTCCCTATCTTGAGCAACAGAATCAAAGAAAGCGTCCTCCCAAAACTGCATGTGATCCCAGAGACGTGATCGCTGATTGGGACGGAGAAGTGCCTCGAACAGGTACTCACGGTAGACCACTGTTGTTGGCTCAATATCATCAGAAGAGTTCTCATATTCGATTAAGCGACCGTTGACAAAGCAGTGCGCACATGCCAGACGAGATCGGGGTTGCAAAATGAAGCGAGCTTTAACGTAGGCAACGCGCAAATTTGATGAAGTTATAGCGAAAAAGATCAAGGACAAAAGAGAATACCACGTAGAACAAAACACTGCATAGACCTTAGAAACCTCCGATGATAAGGAATTAAAACGCAAGCATGAATCGCAGCACCCAAACACGAAACTGTAGAAAACCCGCAATAAAATACAACTAGCAAAAGCCGAAACGGAGAGACACTAACACTGATTAATAAAATGTAAAGATTACGGCCATCAACGCCGAGTTCATATTATAACAAAATGTATTATTACGAAAGCCTCGCAGCGATTTTGAACGCATTCGCTTCCAAGACCAGCATCAACAGTGACTGAAACTCCGGAAAAGCCAATCAGATGGGGATTTATCCCAAACTCATCGGTCCAAACTGCTCTACAAGTAATACCTGCAGAGCGTAAGCGAAAATCTGGTTGCTACGCGGAAGCTCTGATAAAGAAAACCGGCAAACCGTTGTCCTACATGCCAACCAGGCACGAAAAGAGCAACCGATGATATAATGGCTGTTTGCTAATGGAACAGCAAAGTAGGCAAGATCGCTCAAGAGATGGGAATTTTATAGATATGTATAGAAATATATCTCATTTTCACTTTAAATTGGACGTTTTGCAAACCACTTTGGACATCTACCGAACCATGTGGACATTATGTAAAACACTTTGGACGTCTTGCAAAAACTGCAAGTATTCCAAAACAAAATGGACCTTTTGTAAAGCACTTTGAACACATTGGATTTTAAGCAGAAAATCAGCAATTCGCTTGAAAGAAATGAGAATTAAGGCGATTCAACGACCATCAGACCATATTGTAGTCATGCGAATGCAACCGGGTTGTGCAACTATAGTGGGTGCCGTCGCAAACTCTTCGCTTGATCTTGAACTCGATCGCCTCGATCAAAACCCGTTACTGAGTATCCCCCTATCTCCCCATCTATCGTCTCGTAGTTTATGTTCTTCTGACTTTACACATGCACCTGTGTAGTTATGTGACAATTGGAAACTCATACTCCCCATCGTGTAGTCTATCATGACTTAAACAAATGTTACCTAGCATTGGAGAGTAGTTACGAGGCACTCGTTTTGAGAATGGATTACAATGCGTCATCTCAATGTGGACTGCGATTCCAACTGAATTAAACGTTGGTCAATTCGATCACCTGGACCGTAACTGATGTGGCAGATAGGCGGTGATCGGTTGTACCCTGTCACTCTATGGACCTTCGCGTGTTGTATGTGGGCCAACCGATTCAGCTGCTCGATTATTGGATCAGTGCAGGCTATCATGAATCCGCCACACAGCATAGCTTTATTGGCATACTGCTGCAAGCCGTTAAAACGACTGGACGACTTTCAGACCATGTGCTCCCGCGAATGCAACGGGATTGTGCAAGCCTTCCCCTTTATTATTGGCGTTGTTCACCTTGAGCACAGCCGGCGACCCAGTTGTCCCGTGTCGCTGCATGGGCTTTCGCGTATTTCCTGTGGGTGGGTGGGCAAACCTATGCAGTGCACTCAATAGAACACTGTTGCCTATTGTGAATCCATCTAAGCCAGTATAGATGCATTGGTTTTTAGCGGTGGCTTATTATCAATTCAGGGGAGTAAGAGGACAGTACGATATTCCCGTTACATAGGGCTTACGCGAATGCGACTTAACTGCATAAGCAATGGGCGACTGTGCAATCCCTCCTCTTTATCATGGGCGTCAGTTTTCTCGATCAGGACCGGTGACCCAGTTGTCCCCTGTCGCTATATGGGCCTTCGTGTATCTTATGTGGGTGTGTGGGCGAACCTATTCAGCTGCTTGAATATTGGAACAGTGTAGGCTATGATAAATCCACCAAAACCAGCCTAATTTTGCTGGCCTAAAGTTGCAGTTCGTTATCAAAGCAGGGGAGCAAGGCCACTGGACGATGTTTCCGCCGCACGTTGATCACGCGAATGCAAATGGGCCTGTGCAACCAACGGGCAGTGGTGCAAGTCTCTCGCTTGATCAGTGGCATTGTTCACCTCCACTATATGGGTATCCGCATATAGTCTGTGGGTGTGCGGGCAACTGCTGTAAGTCGTTTTGTGCAGCACAAGACTAATAAAGCTATGATGTTTGGTGAAGTCATGATAGTCTGCACTGATCCAATAATCGAGCAGCTGAATCGGTTGGCCCACATACAACACGCGAAGGTCCATAGAGTGACAGGGTACAACCGATCACCGCCTATCTGCCACATCAGTTACGGTCCAGGTGATCAAATTGGCCAACGTTTAATTCAGTTGGAATCGCGGTCCACATTGAGATGACGCATTGTAATCCATTCTCAAAACGAGTGCCTCGTAACTACTCTCCAATGCTAGGTAACATTTGTTTAAGTCATGATAGACTACACAATGGGGAGTATGAGTTTCCAATTGTCACATAACTACACAGGTGCATGTGTAAAGTCAGAAGAACATAAACTACGAGACGATAGATGGGGAGATAGGGGGATACTAAGTAACGGGTTTTGATCGAGGCGATCGAGTTCAAGACCAAGCGAAGAGTTTGCGACGGCACCCACTATAGTTGCACAACCCGGTTGCATTCGCATGACTACAATATGGTCTGATGGTCGTTGAATCGCCTTAATTCTCATTTCTTTCAAGCGAATTGCTGATTTTCTGCTTAAAATCCAATGTGTTCAAAGTGCTTTACAAAAGGTCCATTTTGTGTTACAAAACGTATAGTGGTTAGCGAAAAGTTCATTTTTTGCAAAACGTCCAAAGAAGTGAAAATGGTATACATATATATATATATATATATCTATGAAAAACTGGTCAGAAAGGGGGTGATGAACATTGTCAATGCTCAGAAAGGTTTTCTTAGCAAACGATCGTGTACCACTTACTAATTGCTTTAACTGTACCACATTTTAGAAGTAATCGATTCCGGCTATGCAGTAGTAATTCTGTTTCTGGACATACACCAAACATTCGACCGAGTACCGCAGAAGCGATGTTTACAAAATGTAGAGGACTTCGGGATCTGGGACCAATTATCAGATTGGCTATCGTCTTACATGAATGGTCGAAATCAGGTAGTCAATTTAGGTGATTATCACTCTTCTCCACGTCCCATCACCAGTGGGGTCATTCAAGGGAGCGTGCTTGGACTGTCACTCTTTCTGCTCTAGATAAATGACACCACATAAGTAAAACGGTTGGTCACTTTTATTCGCTGACGATAGCAAGACCGTCTATAAGCTCCGGTGCGATGAACTTCACGGAACGCTACTGCACATCCAAGATGACTTATATTCCCTTGAATCATGGTGCGACACGGGAGTAATGAATCACTCAGCTAAGAAATCAAGCCTCATATCTTACGGCAACTAACACACTAAACAAGGAACACGTCGGTACAATGCTGTGCATGCGTGATCTTGGAATTAGGTACTCGTCTACCAAGAGTTTCTATGAACAGGCCCAATACCAATTAATATGTGCCAGACAATCGATGTTCAATATATTCCACAAAAACCACATAGCCATGGTAAAGTTGAAGTTTCTAAGCTAAGCACTTGCCCCATCCTCGAATACTGCAGCATAATATACGGCAATATGAGAAAGTGTGACAGAATTGCTGTAGAGCACATGCAGAAGTCATTTGCTAAAAATCTAATTGGTACATACTCTACTATGAGTCATCGAGAAGGTTGTAATGAACTTCAAATCAAGCCACTTTGGACTCGACGATTGAAGCACAACTTGTTGCTACTTTTCAAACTGCTACATAAAAAGACTTATTCCGATCTACATACACTCGAACTAGAACACAGAACAACTCGAGAGCTCCACAATAAAGATATTACACTGAATATACTGAAGGTTAGAACGAAGGTTCGATCTAATTTCTTCCTAGTCAGATATAGCTACCTGCGGAAGAAACAACCAATCACACTCAGGTCATGTGACAATGTGGCAACATTTAGAAGCAGACTCTCTAAGTACCTTGTTCTAAATACCATAATCGCTATATGTACATGAGAAAATCCAAAGAGCGGCCCAAAATGATCTCAGCACCAATGTTTTCAAAACTAGGCGTTTGTCTCAACCATCCACCAGAACGTAACTACCTGAAACGCATACAAGACAACTAAGGCTGATGCTGGCAATATTTGAAGATCTAATGTGAACAGGCAGCAGTCCGATTCGAGCTTCTCAAAGCTTCCCACGGGCTGTATAAAGGACAGGAATAATCAGCCTGAAGTAACAAACCACAGAACATGAAGTAAAGTAAAAAGAGGTGCTATTAACCTTTAGCTTCTGATCCATCCTTCTTTGTGTCAACTGGGATGAAATTTGGACGCAAATCCTTGGCGGCTGTGCGGAACCAATCGGCTAAAAAAGTAAAGGTGAGATAATATATACCTCGATGTAGTTAGTCAGTTGGACATGTCGCTATAAGGTGTATATAGACAGCACAAACTTCACTCGAAATCGAGGCGCAGAAATCGAGTTGTGAACCCACCCAGTTCAGACATTTAGTAGTCTCCTAAACTCTAATTTTGATTAGCTGCGTGAATGAATTCGGTCCAGAAACCCAGCTATACGGTGTTCCGGAGGAGAAAGGCACAAATGTATACGAATAGTGTAAGAAAAATAGAAAAGACCGTATGAACACGAAATCAGCAGCAAAATTACAGGTTCCGCGTGTGGAGCGACAACAGTGACCACAACAACCATTCGTGGATAACAAAAAACGACATGGGAGACAAGGGAATTTTATATCTTAAGATAATAAGCAAGAACGGCAGTCGATTCCCCATAAGTTCGAAAAACTGATCACTGATCACATGCATAGGTGAAGTGTACGACTTCATGAATAGTGAAGAGCCCCACATCCACAGCGGCTTTTCAACATCGAAGGTACACGAGACAACGTTTAGAGATTGACTGGCAGCGCGAATCGCGCAACTCACTGAAAGCGCCCACGAGGTTATCTTCATCTTGTTTAAAAGGATGCTGCCTAATGCGCGCATTGTTCTTAAACAAATGATAGGGAAAAAGTAAGCTACTGATGGGAGGCATACTGAGGAATCATAAATTTGCGCTTCGTAGCATCGAAAGGAGGAGGCAGGTAGATCAACCAACTTAAGCTTACCAGGGGACTAGCTGCAGCCGAGGAAGGGTTTGGTTCGACATAATGAATGTGACAAACTTCAAGCATTGTTGCGGCGCTGGCTAACCCACCGATTCCGTGATTGGTGCAGGAGAATTCCAAGCCTCGGAGCATGCAATGAAGCACTGTAGCAAGGCAATCGAAAACAGCTTGGTTCGGTAGTGCCTGTGAAGAAGGATAAAAGTAATGGGTGGGAAAGTGCAGCTAGTTGACAGTAAGATAGCAGAGTTGTGAAAGTAATGACTGGCAGCGCTTGAATAATTATTGTGAGCGAGTTGGATAGATGGTTCTGCTCTGGAAATCAAATGGGCGAATATGCAAAACTTTAGACAACAACCTTCTCAACAGCAAGAAATACGATAACAATGATCCAAGCTGCGAGCAATCGCACGAAAGGATAACTATCTGCAAAAGGGTAACACTTTGTTGGGTGTTGGAGAATTCTCCGTGTATCTGAATTGCGATACTTTGCCAGTTAGCGTTTTGCTGAATAAAAGTGGAATTCCCACCGAAGCAAGCAAAAGTCGATTGACACCATCATTCTACTGTTCGGAAAGACGATAACAAATCTGTGATTCACCATGTATAGGACCTAAGTTGAAACTTAGAGTGCAAGGAGGTGCACTGTAAACAGAATCCAATCTATCAAAAAATGCCTAGAAAGTAGTAGTTTCCGTGGGATTGGGATTGGTTGCACCGATTCAGTTACCATAACTTGTGCTATCGGGAAAAATGGATAACAAACGTCCAATAGATAAAATATGGAGGCCAGACACAAAATACAAGTCGGAAAATGTTCGGAAAAATGCGAGAATAACCAAACACAGTAAAAGATATAGGGGTATGATATAAAAGTTTCAATGATGTTCGCACTCGTTATACGAGACAACGCATTTAACTGACGACATGATAGATCCCTAGTTCACCACCCAGGTGCACAGCAGCGCAAACTTCTAAGATTTTCAACAGGCTTCCTCACATCACCTTTGCGTATTTGCTTGGTCGTTGAGCGACAACTCGGAACTAGGTGCAACTACGCTAAGAAACACACCGGGGCAGGCGATTGATGGAAAAGCGAAGAAAACGATCTGTTTAGGACAGTAAGCTAAAAGGAATGTCTCATTGAGGGACAGGCACCAGACCGTGACTGGTAAGCACTCACAGCGCCAGCTCGTATCACAAGTAGATAAGGGGGTTGACAAACAAGTACCGATGGCTCGGACGAGAAGTTAGCTACAATATTCGACAAGCAGAGAAATGTGTATCATCATTATATCATCATTATACATGTTAGCTAGAGGTGGGAAACACCTCAACAACGGCGCCGCAATACCTAAAAGAAAAAAGGGAATGAAATGCTACAGGTGTAAGCCAGCTGAGCTACCCGTAACGGATGGGCATCGTTCCGGGAAGCTACTAGCCGGCTACTATGCAGCAAAAAAGTAATTTCTTATGTAAAATTATAAAATGCTAAATTATGAGATGTGGTTGGAGGCAGAGGCTAAGAGGGATGGGGAGGGACAAAGAAACTCACAGCACGAACGCCACTGAGGTCGGCTCCTAGCCATATAGCAAGTGTATCCAGCCAAACGTGTTCAACGTCTTTCGGACTCCAACCTGGGAGCCGAGACGCTCAAACCGAGGCCAGCTTCGAAATGGGGGCCTTCATTCCTCTCGACCAAGTTATCGCTTGGTCATCTCTCCCCTTCTTCCACCCAAACCCCGGCGCGCAAACAACGCACGTCGAGGGAGTCGGTGGGCTGGCATGCCTAACACGAGGCCCAGCCATCGGAGCCTGGTGCGTGAAATAACGGTGCTGAACGGTTCAGTTGCTTTTTCTGTACCATAAACAAGGCGTCGAACACGCTCGTTGCTAACTTGGTGTTCCAACCAGATGTGAGCTAAATTGCGAAGGCACTGGCGGTCGAACGTAACTAGAATCTTCAGGTCCGCTGCTTTAAGCGGCCAGGTTTCACAACCGTACAGTAGGGTCAAACGTACCGCTGCATTGTACACTCCAACCTTCAGGGACAGAGTGATGACGCGCCGGCGCCATATGTGGCAAAGATGAGCAAAAGCGCCTCCAGCTTTTGATATATGGTTTGTGATCTTCAATCCCACTTCCCAGGTAGTTGAATACCCGTACGACTTCTAACTGATCCCCACCAAGGGTCAGCGCAGGAGGCGATCCCTGCCAATCTTGGAGGAACGCTTTGCATTTCGATGGTGCAAAGCAAAGCCCGAGGCAGTTGACAGCCAGTGCTTACCTGTCCAGCGCGGCTTGGCACGTCTGGAAGCTGTCACAGATGAGGGCAATGTCGTCTGCATACTCCAAGTCAAGAAGTCGTTCTCCTGGGAGTAGCTCCAAACCTTCCAAGTCTTGTCCTGTAAATGCAAACACCAATGCTTCGTAAATAGCGAAATTGAAGAGGAAAGGTGACAGCGGGCATGCTTGTCTCACACAGCTGGAGATATTAAAGGGCGACGACAGCTTGCCGTAAGCCCTCACTCTGCCCGTGCTACGGCATATAATGCTTGGATAATATTTACATATTTCTCGGGCACATCTTTCCTGCGTAAACAATTCCAAAGGGCACATCGATCAACCGAATCGAAGGCACCTTGATGTCGAGGAACACGACAACGGCGGGCCGCCAATTTGTGTGACGGTGATGCAACAACTGACACAAAGTGAAGATGTGGTCGATGCAGCCACGACCTCGACGAAACCCGACTTGCTCTTCACGAATCTGGCTTTCACAAGTGTCAGTCAGTCTGTGAAATATGACAGAGGCAAGCACTTTGGAGGCGATGGAGATCAGACTGTTTCCTCTACGATTGCCGATTTCCTTTCTTGAGACTCCCACGAAAATTAGGACTATGACGGAGCAGCTCAAGTCGGGTGGGACAGTTTGCCGCCCACACAGTTTCACTAATAACTCGTGTAAATCATCAACAAGAGCAGGTCCCCGAATTTGAAGAGGCCTGGAGGTAGATCATCTGGTCCCGCGGCTTTATCTAACTTCAACAGTGCGATCTCACGTTCAACTTCTGAGCGAGAGGGTGGATCCAAAGGGACAGCCCAGGGAGTGGGGCGATCAGTGGCCGGCGAGAAAGATAACAATTCCGAGCGATTAAATTGCTTTTCAAAATGCTCAGACCAACCCTCCAAGCGTTTTGACACGCTGTGGATAGGTTGTCCACTATCGTCACGTATAGCTTCACTAACACCAGGTCTCCTGCTGCCCGTTTCCCGTATCAGACGGCCATTGCCATCTTTGAAGCAAGATGAGGCCACCAAGATTCGCGGTCTCTCTTCAGGCTAGCACGGAGTTTTGCCCGGAGCTCTTTCCAAGTTTCAGTGTGTGAATATGCCGGCGAGCATCTATAAGTCCCAGAGGCTGCGAAGAGACCCAATGTCCATGTTGGTGACTAGACTTACCACATGAGGATTTTCCGGTTGCAAGTAAAATCAGCGGAATATGAGACAAGTGAGCCTTAATTGCATCGAGTGATCGTTTATCCAACTCGCATGACAGCGCACTTTGATAGGCATTCAGAACAGCTGATTTCGACAGTTGGCTGGTGTCAATGCGCTCACAACGTCGTCGTGGACGTCCGCCACAGCGCATCCGCAGGTCAGCACATACAAGTGCATGGCCGATGTCCACAAATGTGCTCCAAATCGAGCGATAGTTCTGGACGCAGCCTCTCCATCGGTGACTTATCGCAATGTGATCGAATTGCGTCCAAGGCTGGTGGGCGCCAAGTAATTCTCCGGCGGGTGCTGTGTCGGAAATTAGTGCTCGCAAGAAATAAGCGAGCATCCACACACAAGGAAAAGGAGTATATCGATAGGCAGATCAAAACGTCAATGAATAGAGCAGCTAACCCTAAGCAGCTTGCTTTAGCAAGTAGATGGTCGGTAGAGAAATGAATATAGTTATTTAGTTCCGAAGCTAGTGGCGACGTGATTGATTTCGGAACGTACCAGTTGTGAACAACCTAAGCAAAGTACTGTTGCGCAAGTTTGTTCCTAATCGAAATGATAGGCCAAAAGGTGGATTTCGAGTAAATCCCTTTGTGAACAGCAGACAGCAAGTTAGTTGGTCAAAGAAATCTCAGTCTTGGTATAACTTCTGTCGATGTACAAATGGATGTTACGGTAATTTCGTGTAAACCTGTCAGTTCTCTCCACGTTCTCTATTCAGGTCAACAATTATCAGTCCGCAGCCGAGAAAAGCAGACAAGGACTACGGATAGAACATGTTGACCGAACAGCCACAAACAAGGTAGTAAGCAGAGTTCAAACCCTGATTTTATTGATTGATCAGGTTCGATCAACCGACTCAAATAGCCGCATGTGGTCGGACCCGTAAAGTCAAAACAAGAGTTTGGCCCAACTAGTGTAGCAACGCGCATATCAGCTAGCAACCCAGGCATCTGGTGCCTTGATGTTAGTTAACAAATTTCGCATTCCATAAGGTGCAAATTCCGCCGAGGCTACATGATAAAGTAGTGGCTGATTCACGAAGTGGTCCGAAACTCCACAAGTTAAGCCTGATCCTCTGCGACACACATTTAGGAAAGCCGAAAGACGTGCTTTGACAAGTACCACTCCGACAGGGGAAACGTCTCTTGATTACGGAACGGTTAACACATGTTTTGCTGCACCAGTTGAGATGGATCGATCAGGTCCTACGTACGGCATCTTAGTGTTTTCCGCTCCGGGCCCAATTCGCTCGCGAAGGATTAGGCTGGAGAGGACTGAGTAATGAACAGCTTTTCCCTTGGCGAGAGCACATCATTCATTATCATTATACAAGTCAGCTAGAGGTGGGAAAAACACCTCCGCTATTGTACCGTAATACACGAAGGAAATACATACATACATATAATACAATATACAAAGGAAAAATAGATACAACAGTTGCACGCCAGCTGAGCTACCAGCAACGGATAGGCATCCTTCCGGTAAGCTACCAGCCAGCTACTAGGCAAAAAGAAAAAAAGTTATGTTTTACCCTACGAAATGAGATCGTAGATGGAGGACTAAAAGGGATGGGGAGGGACAAAGAAACTCACAGCAGAAACGCCAATGAGGTCGGCTCCTTGCCATGTCAGCAAGTGTATCCAGCAAAACGTGTTCACCGTCTTTTGGACCC